TGAGAGCCTGTCTCTCTCTCTCTCTCTCTCTCTCTCTCTCTCTCTCTCTCTCTCTCTCTCTTTCTCTCTCTCTCTCTCACACACACACACACATTCTATCTGAAGTATTTTTTGAGGAAAAGTTATTTCTTTGGTAGAGGAGAAAGAAGAAAAGATGGAAGATGAAATCTATTTAGTAATGTTTTTGGGTGTCTGATTTTGCAGATTACTTAGCTGTATAGCCAAGGACTGTTTCAATAAATGATATAGCAAAAATAGTGAAATTTCACTAATAGGAATACCACCAACCTCACATTTTCCCCAGGGCTAAAAGGAAATTAACTTGAAAATCGTGCATAAAGAGGTGGCTACCAAAAGTCTTGAGAGTGGAAATAAGATTGGGAAGGACAATTTATCTTTTTAGAAGAGTTTTCAAGTCCTCTAGAAATAAAAAAGAACCTATTTTCAAATTTTATTTAAAGCATATTTTAAAAGAAAGTAAGGAAATTTTTTTAACTTTTTTGGATATGCAGTGTGGGAACCTAAAAGCGAGTTTGAATAATCCCTTCAAACTTCTGTGATCATTCACTTAACCAGTTTAGAGCTGCAGTTAGATTAGCACCACTTTTTTCAACTGAGTAGCCACTAGCAGAATGTGACTATTGAACACTTGAAACGTGACTAGCACAAACCGAGCATAAGTCCACATGGGCTTCTCTAACAAAATAATGTACCCAGGGCAGCTTAAACAACAGACAGTTATTTCTCACAGGTCTGGGGACTGGAGATCCAAGATCAAGTATTCGGGGGGCGGGGGGGGGTGTAGCGCGGGTGCAGTGAATCTTCCTGGCTTGCAGTCACCTTCTGTGTCCTCCCAAGATGCAGCCAGAGTAAGAGCTCCGGCCTCTCCTACTCTTCTAATAAAGACATTAATCCCATCATGGGATCCCCCCCATGGCCTCATCAAATATGAATTACACCCCAAAGGCCCTACTTTCAAATACCATTGCTTTGGGTTTTTGATCTTCAGTATATGAATTGAGGGTAGGAGGCAAATCCATTCCATAACACTGAGAGCCCTATATGAATGTGAGTTAGTTAATTTATTATTTTTATATTGATCATATGTTGGGATGATAATATTTTGGGTCTACTGATTTAAGTAAAATAATTATTAAATTTCCCATCTGTTCCTTTTTATATTAAAAATGTGAATACTAGAGTGGCTCACGTTTTATGTCTGCACTGCTCTAGTTGGAGAAGATGACAGTGTCAGGTTTGCCACAGGGGGATAATAATGAGCTAACAGAAGAGTGGCTACGGACGAAGGTCACAGGATTTGGCTTCAGTGCCGTCATTCATCCTGGTCTCACCCAGACCTCCAGTCCTTAATGACTATTGTGTACCCAAAACGATAAACACGTTGGAAAGTGTGCTTGAGCTTGGCCACAGTCCACCCAACAGCCAACCGCCCGAGAAGAGAGGCACAGGCCTGCCCTGGGGGCTGCGCTATGCGGCTCTCTTCCCTTCTCCTGCAGCCCTCTCCACTCTCGATCTACTTTGACCCACCTTTCAGCATGACTGGATACGCTTTCCCTGCAGAATAGGTAAACATCTGTGCGTTTAACTCTTGCATCTCCTTGCCAAACAGTGTCTTTGATGTACTCTTCAAAGGTCTGACAGCTGCCAGTTCAGATCAAAAGGAGCACATCTCTCCAATGATTATGTTAACGTTTTCTGTTGAGCACCCTTCCTTACTATACTTGCCAGAGTGATTTATTTTAACTCTGTCTTTGGCTGAAGCCATCAGCTACGTGCAAGCCGCTTCAGGTGCATGCTGTAGCTCGGACACAGGTGGACAGAGTGGTTCTTATCCGCAGGTATCTCTGGTGAGAAGACAAGACGCCCCAGGGTCAGCTAGAAGTGAGCTTCCGAATGCAACACGGAGAAATTCCCTTAGTTTCTCTGTGCCTACCTCTCGGCTTCCCCCTAGATTCACAATAAGAGGAAAATAAATTTCAGGCTGGAATCTCCACTTGATAAACGAAATCTTTCAGTGATACATTGTTATGAAATGTGCCGCTCTGGTCTTCTGAAACCATGGAAGTATCTCAGAGAACTCAGAAGGCTCCCCTTGACTCCATCAGAGGAAATCTGACTGAGTCAGAAAGGCAGCTCTGGGTCCACTGCAGATATAAAGATGTCAGTCGGGATGCCTTCCACTCCTCGAAAATATGTCTGTGGATGGGGCCAGCAGAAGTCCCAAGGTTTAACAGCCACAGGAGAAGGCAGATGTGATTAAGTAACTGGCTTTACACCCCTTTCTGTCTGATAACCACAGAAAACGACACATGCCGATGTGGAAAGTAGGCAATGAAGCCGTCCACTTAAGCAAGACATTAGGGTGCTTAATTCGTAGCCTAGTGAAGTTGATTTCTGAAAAGGAACAGCTACGGTTGGGGTAATCAGTCTCCCTGTAGCTGTGGACATGTGGGCACCCTCTTACCCACAGAAAGGGTCCTAAAGCATGTAGTTAACCTAATACACTTTCTTCCTTTAAACAAACAAGCAAACAAACAGTCCTAGAGAAAGTTAAATCAATCCTTTCCTCTCCGTTTTCATTCGTCAATTTCAACTCTAGCGCAGTGGGAGAGAAGTGTTGGGGGAAATTCTTGGGGTTGAGCAGAAAGTAAGCTGTCGGACTCCTGATGCAGGGAGCCCCTCTCTGTGTGTCACACAAATGCCCAACACGCAGAGTGAGACCCTGGGCTGGGCACAGGGACACCTACCTCCCTCTTCATGTTACTCCTCCAGCGAAAGAGCTTTGTCCTGCAGCTCCTCTCCTGCCTGCCAGTGAAGGTGAAGGTCATAGCTTTCTCAGCAGTTAACAAGCTGCAGCCTTCTCCTGTGCGGTGAAAGTCTGCCCCGACTTGAGAGTACTCGGGAGTGGACCGCACACAGTCCATCTCTATCCTGACCTACTTCAGCTGTGGGGTAGGAGGAAACAAGTGTTGGCTCGTGAAGGGTAAGAAGAGATGGGGCTGGGTAGTCTTACACTGTATTTTGTGTCTTGCTTGATATCTTCTAAAAACCAGATATCTGTTTCTCACCGTGAGAAGCGATCTCAATTTTCCTTAGCCAATCTGCACATACAGTGCCTATTTCTTAGTGACAGTCCAAGTTTTGGCCCTCATTAAGAACCTCTGATGCTTTACAGTCTTAAGGTACATATTGCAAAGTTCTCTGTATTCCAGCTTTGGGCTGCATCCAGCCTCATTTGCCTTTTCCAGTCCTAGAGTTTTCCTCCTTTGATAGGAAGCAGGGAAGCAGGGGGAAGGGAAGCACCCCTACAAAACATCAGAGATTAGATCTTACCCTGAGGTGTGTGTACATTAAGAATCTCTGAGATCTTAAGTGTCTGTGGAGATCTCAGAGCTTTCTCAGATTCCTGGTGAGGTCTTGTCCTCAGAAAGATTAGAAACGTTTCTAGAGGTAAGAAGGTACTCTTAGTAAACTCCAAAATCAATTCTCTGGACTCTGACTCTTTCAAGAGGGAGAAGGTGAATCTATTAGTAATATAATGCAAATCTTAACTCAACTTCCAGTGAAGAACTTTCTCTTTCAATTTTCTTGCCTCTAGAGTTTCTTACCTTCTGTTACGGTGAGAGCGGTTATTACAAGTACTGTAATGTGTATTTGTGCAGCACTGTAGAGGTACAAAGCCCTCTTCAGTGTAGGATCTGACCTAACCTCTGCAGTGGCCCTTTGTGTAAATGTGTCCCAGGATGTGTGGTTGAGGAATTTGAAGCATAGAGAGGCTAAGTCAGATCTTTCATAATAGTGGGCTCAAGACTTGGAGTCGAGGCTTGGGCCCAGGGCTTCTGCACCCAGGTCCCAGGCTCTAACATTAATCTCTGTGGAACCCAGGCACGCTGGGACACATGCCTGTAATCCCAGCATTCAGGAGGCTGAGATAGGACTGAGAGTTCAAAGCCATTTTGAACTACTGAGTGAGTTCAAGGTCAGCCTGAACTTAACGAGATTCTCTCAAATAAAAACAAGCAATGACAGCAACAAAAACTTGCTATTAGTTATCTTATTAACCTTTCTGTGAAGAAAGGGAGTAGGGCATTTGGAAGAAGTCTGTGCTTCCTTTAACCGGAGTCCACTGGCTCTGCATTTCACTTGTAGTACTTCTGTTAAAGGTATGTAGAAAGCCGCTTTTGCTTTCCTTGAAGGGTGTGGTGGAAGGGTGGCGGTGCAGGCAGCTGGAGACCCACTGGCTATGTCTTCAGCACAGTCCTATGAGCCACAGAGAGGACGGCTCTAACCAGCTCTAGATTCGGCTGATGGACTCGGGTCTGGGTTTGACCGGGTTAACTCTGTTTCAAGAATCTTAGTTCAAGAGGGTTTATATTATAGTCTTGGTTCAATTTAGAGTAGTTGACTAAACATCTATGAGATAACTTCTGTGTGCTGCAATTTGTGTTAGATTCAAAGGATATGAAAATGACGAAGATATAACATCCCTTTTCAAGGAGCTCCTGGCCGGAGAGTCAGGTGGAGTGGTGTTTGAGGTTAAGATGGAGCAGCAGGTCAATTTTAGAATTATTGCTTTACTAATTAAACTTCTGTAAGTGTAAACGAGGAGGTTCTACTCATTAGCTTGCATGCTGAATTTTTCTATGATTATTCCCTCTGGGTAACTAGGAGCTTTTTTAAAGCTCAGTAGTTAGTGGCTAAGTTTGCTTGGCCTGGAAATCTTGGGTTGATAGGTTGTACTGTAACTAAATTATGGAGGATGACTTCTGACTCTCTTTCCTCCAACTTTTGGGAAAATTTGCACGTTCTGAATTTGCTAAAAGCTCCCCAACTCATTAAAGGACGGGGAGTTAGTATTCCCCTATTTTCTATCCCCTCTTACTCACCTTTCTGGTTGTGTAAATTGACATTGCACTGAAAACCTTCTTGAAGATATTTATTAAGGACCTAAAAACAACCTGGTTAAGGTATTTAAAGTTAATCATCATTACTCAATTTACTCTCTTGTCAAGTCCTAAATTTTGCTTATCTTAGTTTTTCTTTCTTTTTTCCTAGCAAAAATACAAAGAAGACTATGAAAATAAAGTCAAAGGCAAATGGAGTGAGACACCTTGCTTTGAAATTGCAACGGCCAGAATGAATGCTGACAACATCAGCACAGTGAGTAGGAAGCAGTAGCCGGATGTCCTGGGAGGGACCTCTGCTTTAGGACTCCCGTCACCTGGAACATCGAGGCCCCTCTTCTCAGGGGCAAGAGACTTGATGCGGAATTCCTGCTAAAAGAGAAATTCCAAAAACCTTCTTTCTTTCTGAAAAACTATTTTGACCAATTTTTATTGTTTTGACTTCAATTTCAAGGAGCAACATGGTGATAACCTCTTAACAATTGTGAAGTACAATTAGTGGGAGTTAAAGTGCATATTTTTAATTTATTATCTGCCTGGGGAACCAAACGGTACATTTGTAAAATTGATTAATGTAGCTAGCATCTTTTCACTGTAAGTCAGAAACCTAATTAGGCTCTTTCTTTCTCTCTTACTTTTCTGCTCCCGGATTTCAAAAGCTTTTTCCTAGTAGTCAAGGGAGGCTCTCTAATTGTTCCGGCAACCTATTTAATGTTTCCAAATCTCTGTTAAACTGCTAGTCATTTTTGCCATGACACCACAATCTCTTAAGTTTAATCGGATCTTCCTAAAGCCAGTGAGTGTGGCTCTGATATCGTCTCCAAATGTCCACTGTCCTCTCAAACTCTTGCAGTTTGTTTCCACAGTTCTCCAGTGTGTTTCATATCTTACAGAGGAAGTATCAGGAAGATTTTGAGAACATAAAAGACCAGATCTACTTCATGCAGACTGAAACACCGGAATATAAAATGAATAAGCTGGCTGGGGTCGCAGCTAGCAAGGTACAAGAAAATTGTCTCACTGATTTTAATGGTTTTAGTGGGGTGAATGGCTGAAAATTCTGATTCCTGTGTATAAGGAGAAAAAGAAGGGGAGTTGGTTTTAGTCGAGACCAACGAATCCTAGGCATTTGAAGAAGAGGAAAGTGAAAACAACAAGAACGACAAAAGTACTTTGGAATTATAAGAGGGCCACTTAGACTGCTTTTTGTCATGATTGAGTATAACAACCCCTAATTATCATCTACAGTATTTCACAGAGTAAAGGGCCCTTTGCTATTGAGAAGTAGAAAGACCATAATCTAAACGAGCAGGGCTTCTCCTACCAGAGAAGATGGAAGATGCCTTATAAGAAAACACGTGCTCCCACACTCAACGCTATCATTGTTTTTTCTTATTTTCCCACTGATTGGTAAAATCTTGGTACAGGACAAGACAGTGGTGTTCAGACCTGGAGGCAGCAGGATGAGAAGTATTTTGAAAGTAGAGCGGACCTGATTTCGTAATGGATTGAATGTGGGGTGTAAGATAGAGATTTAGGTTTTCAGCTAGACAGATGGGGTTTCCCTCCTTGAGACAGGAAAGGCCATGGAAGAAGCAGGTACTTTGCTTGGAGTGGAAATAGGAACTCATCTCTAGACGCGTGAGATCCGAGACTCCTTCTAGACAGTCAAGGAGAAATGTCGAATTGTTAGTTGACTGTAGGGAAGTTCAGTAGAATATATATATTAGGGACCCCAAAAGTGGTCCCCATCTCCTGTAGGTGTTAAGGTGCACGGCCAAAAGAAAGGCTATTTGTGCCTCCCACGCCATGGACTGTCCCCTGCGATACTCTGTGTGGGCTGTAGGGTTGGAGCATCTGAATTTCAGTTGTGTATCTCCTATCTGTGGATACCAAGTTGACTGATAGTTTCCTGAAGTTTTTAAGTGTCGGTAAACTATCTAGGATCCTCCAGTTTTTATGGTTATACTGTCTGAACAAATGGCTTAGATTAGGGATCATGGTCGGAAGCAGTATCAGCTTCTTTTTTTTTGTTTTGTTTTTTTCCTGTACTGGAAGTCAAACTCACGACCTTGCACTTGCCAGGCAGGTGCTGTGCCGCTGAGCTAAGTCCCCAGCCCCTAAGCTTCTTATTCTATCACCTGTGGACACTCTCCTGATAGGGACTTTGGATACACACACACACACCACACACATACACACACACACCCCACACACATACACACACACCACACACACACACACCACACACACACCACACACACACCACACACACACCACACCACACTTTACGGCTGCTGCCCTTGCTGGGATTAAACAGGCAGCAGGCGGTAGAGAAGGGCAGGGCGAGGGTGCCGCCACCCCCCGAGCGCTTTTCTTCTCCCGCTCACACACTGAGCACGCCATGTCTAACACACAGCTGCAGGTGAGCCTGAAGGGGTAGGCAGATGATGCTTCTAGTTTCTTTCCTTTAAATACGTGTTGGCAGAGAGGCGGCTGGAGGTTAAAGGCGGGTGCGAGCTCTATCGCCTCGGGCCGCTGGGACACGCTGTGCCGTTGTTATCCATGATCTTTCTCTGAGGGTGACGACCATGTATCATTCTTTATGGTGTCTGTCCCAGGGTCAGGCACATAATCAAATCCCTGTAGATGTTTTTTCAATGAATAAATGAATGAGAAGAAAAAGTATCCTGGAAATGTATGCAAATATCTCTGTTGCTGTTCGTATGAGTTACTACGAGTACTTTGCTCATGAAATGTCAAGGTGCTGTTTTCTGAAGAGAAAATTAATTTGTGGAACCGTGTCATAACAGTCACAGTGGAGAGGAGGGCAGAAATAATCTGTGGAGTTACTCTATCACTTTGTTTCATTTTATAGGTAAAATACAAAGAAGACTATGAAAAAAACAAAGGAAAAGCAGATTATAATGTACTTCCTGCCTCGGAGAACCCGTTGCTCAGGCAGTTGAAGGCTGCAGGAAATGTCCTGAGTGATGTGAGTATATTTTTCTCCAAGTGTTTTCTAAACTTCAGCTGCAAGTGAAACAAACTTTTTCTCCTTCCAAAATGACTACATACATACACAATTTTGCAAATCCTTTTTGTTTTTGTTTTTTTTGTTTTTTTCTGGTACCGGGAATCGAACTCATGATCTCGCACTTGCCAGGCAGGCGCTGTGCTGCTGAGCTAAATCCCCAGCCCCTGCAAATCCTTTATGGTTGTGGAGCAGCAGTTTCATTGGAACTACCTAAGCATAGGAAAGCAGAGGGCCTGTGACTATGATTTTCCGAGCTTGTGGGCAGGAAAAACCTCATTTGCTTATAAATTCTGAACATCCGGGCCTCTGCGGGGTTGAAGAGCACACGATGCGTGTGCTTTGATTCTCACAAAAGCAGAGGCCCACATAATACACATTCCCCCAGAAAACATCATTTGCAGACCATGGAACTTAAAAGACGGCTCCCTGCCACTTCACAGGAATTTCTACTTTTCACTCGTGGATGGCTAAGGTCCTGACTAAGCCATTAGATGTTGTTTTTTTTTTTTTTTTTTTTGGTTGGGGGGGGTGGTTCCGGTACCGGGAATCGAACTCATGACCTTGCGCTTGCCAGGCAGGCACTGTGCCACTGAGCTAAATCCCCAGCCCCTAAGCCATTAGATGTGAAATAGATTCGGCGAAGAAGTCTCAGCCTAGTACTAAAAGACTAATGGCCCAAGACAAATGAGACCATGTAAACACACACATGCACACACAGATGGAATATGTGACTTCTTGAGGTTTTCCTTGTGGTTAGATTATATTACACTTTCTGAATGGCTGAGGACCTTGTAGCTCTCTGAGTGCGTTAGTCATCTTTTCTTTTCACCCTGGAATTAAGTCAGCACCACAGGAAACGCATGCATTTGACTGGGGAATTGGTTAGGCGATGTGGCCCCTCCAGCAGGTGGAAATAGTGTGTCTACATAGCTCTGCTGGGAAATCAGTGCAAGGCACTTCTGCCTTCTACATGAAGGACATCTTTTTCAAACATAAAATCCCAGGTTCTCATCTACTTTGTTGGAAAAAACAGGATTAGAAACATCGGAAATGAACAGAATCATTTAAATGTTGAAAAGCCCACACGAAAAAGTGGCAGTGACTTTCTCAGCTGTCCATGTAAATGCAATCACTGATTCATGTGCAAGCTAGACACATTTTATCAGAGAAGAAGAGGTTTGCAGTCTCACATAGGCCTGATTTTTAAGGAAAGTTGTTTGTATAATGCAAGTCCTCCCACCGTGGTACCAGGTAGAAGAGCAACTTGCATTTCTCCACTTACATTTGTTGTTTCACGTTTTGTCTTTTAACCGCACAACCTGCCTCTCGTGGAGACCTTGTTTGCTGTGGCCTCATCAGGGAGGGGAGTGTGGGGAGGGAGACGTAGCCCTGAGAAATGCACCGGTTCTTCCCAGGGAAGGGCTTGGTCAGAAGTGGGCCCTGACTTTTTTAGCTTCTTCAAAATGTTAAACGTGCTTTATAACAATTGTTACTAGAAAAGGCTCCTGATTTGTGACACCCTATGTTTGATTGTTGGTTTTTAAGACAGTTGACAGCTAATATCTTTTCTTCTTCTTTTGTTTAGTGTTGGAAAAATACAACTGTTATAATCAGTGTGGGAGTGACAGGAATCTACTTTAACTGATTTTTCTTCTTTGACAGAAACTATACAAGGAAAACTATGAAAAGACAAAGGCAAAGAGCATAAATTACTGCGAGACCCCCAAATTTAAGCTTGATACAGTTTTGCACAACTTCAGTAGTGATGTAAGCAATCCCGCCATCACCCTTTCTGTTACAAAAAGACCTGTCATTTAATAAATAATTTAATCAAACTGTAAATGAAATATATTCTGTTTTTCAGACCAAATATAAAGACTCCTACTTAAAGAATATTTTGGGGCACTATGTAGGCAGTTTTGAAGATCCGTATCATTCACACTGCATGAAAGTGGCATCTCAAAACAGTGATGTAAGTTCCGAGACCACTGTCTGACTCCCAGAATAACAGAATTGGGGGCATAAACGTGATGGTTGCATCCGTACATTGGTTTCTTTCTCATCAGAAAAACTACAAAGCAGAATATGAAGAGGACAGAGGCAAAGGCTTCTTCCCTCAGACCATAACTCAGGAATATGAAGCAATCAAGAAGCTGGATCAGTGTAAAGATGTAAGTCTGTAGTAATTATAGAGAGCTACCGTTCTCTATAATTAAAAATATCTAGCAGTCAAGACACACTTAAAATTCTGATATTTTACAAATAAAAATAAGTGACAAAATTATAAGAAATAAAATTTATTTTGTGGTAGATGTGCTGGGCACCTCTATGTTTTAAGAGCAAATTCTAGATTATTTTCTTAAAGAGTTATTGTAAATTTGAAGACATGGGAAAGTTTCTCATATAGCTATAAGAGCATCTCTTAAAAAACAATAAGTGTTTTATTAACTACCAGCTTTACTTCCTGGGGGAGGTTGGTGTTGTGCTTGCTTGGCTTAAAGGCCCCCTTGGATTTGACGGGAACTACTCAACCAGACTCCTTGTTCTCCCACAGCACACCTACAAAGTGCATCCCGACAAAACCAAATTCACTCAAGTGACCGACTCTCCCATCCTGGTACAAGCTCAAGTCAACTCCAAGCAACTGAGCGATGTAAGTTTCTCAAAATAGCCAGGAAATTTAGTTATGATGGAGAACATTTATGCATACAATCCAATTTTGTTTGTTTCTTGTGTGTGTGTGTGTGTGTGTGTGTGTGTGTGGTGTTGGGACGAAATCCACTAGACTGCTCTACCATCAAGCTACTTCCCCAGCCAAAACATCAAATTTTTTGTTACATTTATAAAAAGGTTATGTAAGTCCAACTTGTATATTTGTAATCACCTAAAATATTTTCCCTTTGGTTTCTTTGAGTCTTGTTAGGCAGGTAGCACTTTTGGTAAAAATTTTTTCTGAAGGAAGCTAGTAGAGATTAAAGTTGAAAAGAATATGAGTTCTAGAATCAGACAAAACTTCCAGCTCTGTCATTTATGACCAACTTGCCAATCCATTTGACCTCTCTATGCCTTATATTTTCTGTGTGTAATTTGTGGCGGTTTTAAGAATGAGATGTGTGCATACTACGCACCATGGCTCAGATGAGATATTCAATATATGAGATTTCTCACTCCGAAAAAAAGATTTTGGAAAATAGAGATATCGACACAAATTTTTTCATACAAATTCAAAGTATAGATTTCAAAACTTATATTGAATACAACAGGTAAAAATAAAAATAATCTTATAGATTTATGGCCAAAAGTGAAAGCTTCAATGAGATCATGAACAACCGTGATGTGTGCGTGGGAGCCATAGAAATGATTCAGGCACCGCTGACGGTGACAAGAAAGGCAGGCTGTGTCACAGCCCCTCCAGGGCCAGTTGTGATTCGCATGGAAGTGAAAGGCCTGCCTCACTCTGCCGGTGCCCTACCATGCTGACACATGTGTAACAACTGTCCAGGGTCCAGCACACAGGTTCAGTAATGCAGGGTGTCCTACCCAACCTCTGTGTCTCTCTTTTGTTTATTTATTTTTGTTGCTGTTTATTTGATTGTTTTGTTTCTTTCATTTTTCAAGACAGGTTCTCACTATGTAGTTTAGGCTGGTATTGAACTCACTATGTAGCCCAGGTTGGCCTCAAACTTGCAGCCATACTCCTGCCTCAGCCTCCCAGTGCTGGGAATACAGGCATGCACCACCATGCCTGGTTTGAATTTCTCTCTTGATCTTAGCAACGTTGCCAGTTACTTCACATAATATACCAGACAAAGAGAAGTTTTTGTATTTTGGAAAAACTCTTTTAAATTAATTGGTTCTCTTTCTCTCTGCCCACCTGCTCTCTCCGTTTCTCTTTTAGCTAAATTACAAAGCAAAACATGAAAATGAAAAGTTCAAGTGCCATATACCTCCCGATACTCCTGCCTTCATCCAGCACAAAGTCAATGCTTATAACCTCAGCGATGTAAGTTCCTCACATGCTGTGTAATGTAATGCCTTGCTGCAATTCAGTGTGTATTTGAATGTTAAAGATGGGAAGAACTGTTAACCTTGTGTCATATTCCTATGTCTCTGCCAGTGTGACATGGGGTTCACCTTATAAAGCAGGTGTAGCGATCTTGTAAGTAATTTCTTTCACTTAAACAATCTTAACTTGTTTTAACCAATGCTCAAAATTCTATCACTCATGTATGGTTAATAGCAGTTGTAGGGGCTGGGGATTTAGCTCAGCGGCACAGCACCTGCCCAGCAAGCGCAAGGTCGTGAGTTCGATCCCTGGTACCGGAAAAAAAAACAAAACAAAAACAATAGCAGTTGTATTTTTCTTGAATGGGGTCTCTTTGTTACTCAGTCTGGTCGTGAACTCTGGGGCTCAAGTAACATGCTTGAGCCTTCTCGGCCTCCAGAGCACTGGGGCCATGTGCCACTGTGCCCAGACCTCTTAACTGGAATTCTTAATGTTAGATCTTCTAGCCATACATTCATATATACTGTGCCATAATTCACTTTTAGGACTTGGTTATTTTTAGGTATTTCATTCCATTTATTCCCCAGGCCTACAATGTCCTTATTTTTATGTATAAGAAAACTACAGTAATGAGAATAGTCAAAGGGCAAAAGGTCAGGTCCATGACCAAGTATGATTCTCCAAACTAAATTTTATAGAAAAGATTTTATAGAAAAGCTACCATTAGGTGTCTTGATTTCTTCAACAATTCTATAAATGAATAGTAAGACTATCTAGCATCACTATGGATTGTAATGATTTATAAAGTAACCTTCACAGAAGATCTAGAGAGCAAATGAAAATGATATCTTTGTATCATTAGAAGTAAGTTAACTATAGAACTTCTGTACTACTGCACAAAATATTCAGTGTTAGGAATCAAATATTAGAATGAAAATGAGAATTAAATTAATTGATGAGAGATTCCTGTGGAAAGTGGAGAAGCCTGATCTTGGAGAGTTAGAAGCCTAGCTTGAGAAAAATTACCTAAAATATGCATAATCTCTGGTACAATGAAGTATCCATTTGCCTTACACTAAGGCAGGGTAATTAGTCACTCTTTAGTTTTCAAGTGTGATGACATGAATATCACTTTTACTGATTCCACTGATGAAATTTTCCTGTCTAGAATGCTTATAAGCAAGACTGGGAGAAGAGCAAAGCCAAGAAGTTTGACATCAAGGTGGATGCCATTCCCCTGCTGGCCGCCAAGGCCAACAGCAGGAACGCTAGCGATGTGAGTGTGCCTGTGGGCTCGGGCAGGGCAGCCTCGGGGATTTCCGGCCAGTGGGCTGAGCGCGTGCGATGCCTTTGCAGGTGATGTACAAGAAAGACTATGAGAAGAGCCGCGGGAAGATGATTGGCGCCCTCAGCATCAATGACGATCCCAAGATGCTGCACTCCTTGAAGACGGCCAAAAACCAGAGCGATGTGAGTGTCCCATGACTCACTGTCACTTTCAGACGTGGGCTACACTTGCTGCTTAACATAACCTTGCAGTGGCTGTTAGCCCAGCTGAGGCCTCAGATGAGAAACTGAACATGAAAGACCTGAACAGAAGATGAAGTTCCTTATTCTCACTAATATCTCTGAATTTTGAGATGACAGTGAATTTTGCAAAAGTTTCCATAATCTCCTTAATGTTGTCTGTTTTGTTAGGTGAAAAATATACTGGCAATATCATCTTCCTTATTATTTTTCCTAGAAATGTCTCTGTATCTTAATAAGTATGCACATGTATAGTACATGGACTCATATGTATTCACATGATGCCCTGACCTGATTAAGGTAGTTTGCAAGGACATATGCAGAAAAATAAAAAGCAAGGAGGGAGAAAATCGATTTAAATATAAACAAGATTGGAAAAACTAGACAAAGCATAGGCTCAAAATCAAAATATTTTGCTTCAAGAATTTTATAAAATACTGATATTATTTTGAAGACTATGAAATACTAAAAACAAAATTTCTTACCAAGATTGCTTTTCTAATTCTTAGCAAGAAAGAAATTCTCCCTCTCTTCCACATCATTTACAAATATTCTTGTCTTTACTGAGTATATTTTTGGATTTCAATGTGAGAGCATTGAAAGAGAATGTGAAGAAATATATGATACATATATTAAAAGTAAATAAAACTATCTTTTCATGTGTTGCTGCTATAAAGAAAATTTTAGATCTTAATTATTAGAAGCCAGCTTCCAGAGGGGTGATCAAATCTTACATCAAGTGTTCAGTTGACTGCTTTTTCAGAACTGTGCCTATGTAACTATCTAAGGTCTACCTTGTGACTTACACCTTCTTTTGTACCAACTTTTAAAGAAATTAATTTTCCTCCAAACACATTCAAATGGAGCAGACTGTTTTAAGACAGAAATTTGCTTGAGTAGCAGCACTGTGTGCTTTAACTCATTCAGTCGGACAGATATAAGGGCAAGCAATGTACATACACTTATGGTTGGTGTAGGGCATGAGGCTGAGGCTTACCCATTCTGCTCTTCTGCATGGCTGAAAATAGAGGCAGAGAAAACACAAATGTTATTTCATTGGTTAAAGTACAGCAGTGACACGAATGGGTTTTATTTCATGAGGCCGTTTTTCTTTGTTTAATTTTATTTTTTCCTTTGACAGAGGTTATACAAGGAAAACTATGAGAAGACAAAGGCAAAGAGCGTGAATTACTGTGAGACCCCTAAATATCAACTTGACACTCTGCTGAAGAATTTCAGTGAGGTTCGGAAGGCCTCAGTCACTCTAAGGAGGGAAGGCTTTCCTATTGCTTGGCAGATAGCTTGAACTGCATGTGTTTTCTTTTTCAGGCTAAATACAAAGATTCGTATGTAAAGAATATTCTGGGACACTATGTGGGCAGCTTTGAGGACCCCTATCATACACACTGCTTGAAAGTTTCTGCTCAAAACAGTGACGTAAGTTTGAAGACAGCTATGCCTCAGAGAGACATTGTTTGGGAACAATAGCAATCTTGATCTATTCTTGTTCTTTCTTGTTATAGAAAAGTTACAAAGCAGAGTATGAAGAAGATAAAGGGAAAGGCTTCTTCCCTCAGACAATAACACAAGAATACGAAGCAATCAAGAAGCTAGACCAGTGTAAAGATGTAAGCCCGCCGTCTTGGATTCTTGAAATTGGGTTTGGGATTCTTGTGACATCTAGTGGTAAATCTAGCATGGTTTAAATGCTAAACTAGCATATAGCCGTTGGCAGATGTTAAATTTTAAGTTTTTCTGTTTGGGTGGAATTGGGGAACACAAAATTTATTATGAAGAAATGTCTTACTTGTGAAATAATTTCAAGTTTTACAAACCTCTGTTTTCATTAGTTTATATATACATGAAATCAGGGCAAAAGGAAGACAAGCAGGTTAGTGAGAGATGGGTTTCCATCCTTCAACACATTTATGGGAGGTGCTCGCGTGTTCCAGGCTCTGTCTTTGGTGCTGGGAGAGAATAGGGAGCCAGGTGAGCTGCTCTCCCAGAGTTGCCATTGGAATGGAAGAGACAGATAATAAAGGAAGACAGCCCAGAAACAAGAAGGTAGCAGGCAATGGTAATAAGATTAAAATAGAGTGGTGATTCGGAATTCAACTAGGATGATATGAGAGAGACGGTGATTGCTTGGGCACCTTAAACTGGGAGGACAATGGAAGTCTGAGACAGGAATGTCCAGCTAGGCCAAGAGCAGGAGTAGAGAAATGGGGTGAACAGCCTAAGAGGAGAAGGAGGAACTGAGAGAGTGAGGTGGCTGGGATAAACTGGGGAGGGGAAAGTAGTAGGTAAAGTGGTCAGAGACGAAAGGGTAGATTCTGCAGGGCTTACACACCAAGCTACAGTGTCAGTTGACCAGCAAGTACAACAGGGAGCCATTGTAGGGCTCCAGCCCTTGGAAGATTTAGTGGCTGAGATGCAGCAGAAAAACCAGAGGTAAGTTCAGGAAAGAAGCGAGGGAAAAAGAGAGGAGCTTCAGAGCACATCAATCAAGTTTTCTGGAACAAAACATGGCTGGAACCTTTTCATATATTAGGAACAATGTACAGGAACAAAGATATAAAGATACACTGTAAACTCATGAAAGTGCATCTTCTTTTCTAGCATACCTACAAAGTTCATCCGGATAAGACTAAATTCACGGCAGTCACTGATACTCCTGTACTACTGCAAGCGCAGCTCAACACCAAGCAGCTCAGTGATGTAAGTGTCTTGATTTATGTAAATGTGGGTGGCCTGGAGTGTGTGGCCTTTTAAAATGTCAGCATTTACATGCGTAATCTTCACGGACTCCTCTCCCACCCCCATAAGGTCATTTTTCAGAATTTGTTTAATAAAATGCAAATGAAGCTACTGGATTGAATTGCAGCCTGAAGACACCTGTTTTAGATAGCGGCAATGATAACGTACTGATTTTTAGTAGGTGTACTTTACTTAATAGCATCTGTCGCATGCACAGTAGGACTTTGCATCAGTTTAAACAGTGCCGACAAAGCCATCCACTCAGGTGAGTAACAAGGCAAACATGCCCACTCTGGAGTTCGCTAAAAAAGACTTTACAAGAAGATAGGGAGCAGGCTGACAAACACGGCAGGCAGCAGAAGGGAAACGTAGAGGATGATGCTGCAGAACGGAAACAGGCAGACCCCGGAGAGCGTGCCCGCATGGGCATTCAGACAAATGGTCAAGAAAAGTCAAAGGCAGGAATGTTCTAGCCACACAGCCACAGGAAGAGCAACGCGCTTCTCAGACACTTATGAGATCATGTGGCGACTGCGTCTCATTGTGGACTTTGAGGGTGGAGGTTGGGGGAGCCCCATATTCTGATTCTCTAATAAGCTGCTAGACGCTGCTGCTGCTGTTGCTCTAACTGATCGACCACACGGTAAGTAGCAAAGTACTCATGTACTACAGTCCTGAAGTAGAGTCCACCCGCTCAAGGCAGGGAAAGGGAAGACAGTTCATCCTACCATAGATCTGTTTTAGTCACACGAATTAGCTCCTATACAATCAGTCAGGACGTGAATGCATCAGTGTGACTTAGAAGTTGTTTCAGTTTATGTGCGACTTTTCCTAGCATACTTTGTGATAAAGAACAGCTAGACACTAGCTACACTGCCCCGGGGTGACCTGAGCTAACTGCAGATGAACACAGTGGTGTGCATGGTGCCTGGTCACCAACACTGTTCTTGTTGGGTTGGTTATACCACCGGCTCTGTCTTGGGGGTGCTTATTGCACAGTTCTCCTCAGCCGTGTGCATTTTGCCTTTAGCCCCAAAATTCAACAGCCTCATTCCTCTTTACACTTCCTTTATCATCTTTTAAAAAATGCTAAAGTCCTTTAATACTTTTAATAAGAATGTGTGTATCTTTTTAAGCATGTTACTATTTTACTGAGAATTATTACTGGTTTTGTTATAGCTCTGATTACAGAATTCCATAAGTTTGGGGCTGTCATGCCCTCCAGGCACAGCCCAGTGGGGTTGCTCTGATGTTTCCTGTCTATGTAGTGTGATAGTATTATAAATATTGATTGTACCATAGTCCATGAAACAGCAGGTAACATTTCCTGTGCTAGGATTTGACAGGATTGAGTACCTCTTTGACGCTTTTTTCTAAAATAAGCACTAATGACTTTTGTATATACGTTGTCCCACTTAAGTTCAAAGAGATGCCTACCCTGACCTGTTCACATGTCTGTCTTAGCCCATTTTCTGTTGCTGTAACAACGTGCCTGAGTCAAAGTAATTTATAAAGAATGGAGGTTTATTTAGCTTGTGCTTCTGGAGGCTGGGAAATCCAGAGTCATGATGCCAGCACTTGGTTAGGTGTCTCACATGTCATTGTATGGCAGAGGACATCACACGGCAAGACAGAGATTAAGCCAGCCAGAGAGCTGACTTTTATAATAGTCACTTCTTAATCCAGGATTGATTAATCCATTCATCAGCACAGAGCCCTGTGACCAGTCCCTTCCCATAGGTCCCGTCTCTCTCATGCTGTTGACGCGTGACCTTAGAATTAAGTCCAACACATGAAAGGTGAAGGACACATTTAGCCCATGGCAATCTCCTCTGTTGTTTTTCAGCTGAATTACAAAGCAAAGCATGAAAGTGAGAAGTTCAAGTGCAGCGTGCCGGCGGATGCCCCGCAGTTCATCCAGCACAGAGTCAATGCCTATAACCTGAGCGATGTAAGCACACAAGCCACTGTGTGGAGTGCGTGAAAAGGGGAAGTGCTCTGGGTATTTGTGTAAAAATTCCTGGTGAGGAGTTATGTAAATGAACAGTTACTGAGATCATTATCAATGTGAAAGTAGAGCTTTTAAGGCCCACTTGCTTTTGGCTCGCTTAGCTCTCAGATGTCGTTTTCTACAATGTCTGTTGCTGTCAGAAGCATTCTTTCATTCACCCTTCTGCAAGTCTCTCCTGTGTACATCACATTTTACCTTCTCAAGTGGTTGGCATTTTATGTTTTCTTTATATATCAGATACCAGTCTTTAGAGCACTCCCAGAACATTAAAAAGAGTGTATGATACTTGTTTAGTGACAGGGAGAAAGAAACTGGAGGACAGGTCAATCAATAGTTACACTAAATCTGGTACATGAGGTATTTAGAGGTGAAGTAGGTGCATGTGGATTGTTCTGCCTTTTTCATGTGTACTCGACTGATCTGTGTTCAGTGCTGTTTTGTAACTCTTTTGCTGAAATTTTCCTGTCTAGAATGTTTATAAGCAAGACTGGGAGAAGAGCAAAGCCAAGAAGTTTGACATCAAGGTGGACGCCATTCCCCTGCTGGCCGCCAAGGCCAACAGCAGGAACGCTAGCGATGTGAGTGTGCCTGTGGGCTCGGGCAGGGCAGCCTCGGGGATTTCTGGCCAGTGGGCTGAGCGCGTGTGATGCCTTTGCAGGTGATGTACAAGAAGGACTATGAGAAGAGCCGCGGGAAGATGATTGGCGCCCTCAGCATCAATGACGATCCCAAGATGCTGCACTCCTTGAAGACGGCCAAAAACCAGAGCGATGTGAGTGTCCTTCCATCTTGTTTTCAAAATGGCTTCCCTGCTAATGTGCTGGCTGGAGTGGCATAAAGAGATTTCATACCCGTGGGTTGTGCTCACAGGAAACTGTTGAAAAGAAGCTTACAAGTAGAAGGATTTGCCAGGCCCTTGCACATCTCACATTTGAGGAAAGAAATTACCAGTATTTGATGTCCCCTGTGCTCTGAAAAGTACATACATTAATATTTAATAGAATATCAGTTGTAAGCTGGGCATGGTGGCACATGCCTCTAACCCCAGCACTGGGGAGGCCGAGGCAGGAGGATCGTTGTGAGTTTGAGGCCAGCCTGGGCTACAAAGTAAGCTCAAGGCCAGGCTGAACTGCATAGCAAGACCCTGTCTCAAAATAAGACACACACACACACACACATACACACAAACACACACGCATGCACACCCACGGGCGTATCAATTATAGCTCTCAGAACCTCTTAGAAAACATCATTACATGGTTTCATACTTCTTCTCATTGAAAAATAGTGTTTATAATGATTCAAAAACTGTCTTTACTTTGGAACAAAATCAAGAATTATAAATGTAAAATCTGAGTAGAGCTGTCAATGACTTTTAAACTTTAGTTTAAACTATTTTAAACTTTAGTTTAAATTTTTTTTTAGTTTAATTTTTTAAAACCTTTTTAAAACTTTAATTGGTTTTGGTATAAGGCTAAGAAAAATACTTTATTGATTATAGGCCCCTTGAGAATATAATAAAAAATTTGGACTACTTATCTAGAAAAAATAAAATTTTCATTGGCTGAATTTCAGGAAATCCATGGATTTCTTAAAGAATATCTATGGACCATCTATCTTTTTTCTAGGTATAATTTTTACTACAGAGAGGAAAATATTAGCTATTGCAAATTACATTGTGTTTATGAGAACCTCCTAAGAATAAGTGTTCAACATAGCTTGCAAATATTAGTTTTTCATGATGAAGGAGGATGTTTGTGTCATTTTCTTGGATGCTAATTCAAAATTTTTAATTTTGATTTATACTCTGATGTAGACATACCTTCTGTGTCACATCAGTATGCAGTGCTCATGTGCCCAGCACTCCGTTCCCCAGTCCCTTAAGACTTCTAAACTCAAGAAGGTTACAGCACCCTTTTGAGATCACATGTATCTTTATCTTTCGTTTTTCATTCTATCACTGAATGCATTAGAACACTAGGAACAAAATAAATCAGTGAGTATTTGTGAATTGATTGTTGTTGGCAACTGAAAGAAATAGTAATTCTCACGTTATATCCAGGTGCAGGCACAGGAAAGAATTTGTATCTTGGACAGCATTTTATATGCACTGCTGCCGTCTGGTATAAACATGGACAAATTCTGACAGGAGTCAAAGTAACTTAGCAAAGAACACTTCTACACATCAGCTACTTTGTGACATTGCTTTCTCAGTCTTATTCTCATAAAAAGTAGCCATTTTAAAAATGTCCTTGCATACCATAACAAATTTCTGGATTTTCTTTTCATACGCCAGGGTCTAGATTTTACAATTAAGTGACAAATTTATTCAGCAAAAAAATGGCTACCTGCATATTATGAGAAGGAATGTCAAGTTCCTTAGGCTAAAAAAATCAGATCATTTGTGAAAGAAATTGCTACAAAGGATTTCGTCTGTTGTTGATAGCTTGGTCATGTGATTATAGGTAGATAGGGTGGGATAAGATCTCTAAAGGCAGTGGGTGAGGATTTTTGTCTCTGTTAAGGCAGCTGGGGAGTGGATATGATGAAGCCGCGAATCTGACCTACTTAGCACAGTCCAGAGCACCAGCAATGAGGACGCCTCCTCAGGCCCAGCCAGGACATTTGGTTTATGAGAACATTGCAGCTAAGGACCAAGGTTACTTTAACGGCTCAGTTTCACAAACTTTTCTCCTCTGAGGTCTCATAACTGCTGCAGTCTAAAGCGTCTTTTAAATTATTGCCAAAATTAAACTTGGTATGAAAAAAAACCTTTGCTCTTCTCCATGGGGCTTCTCTGCTGTCAGGAACAGAACAGGCAGGCTGAAAAATCATAACATCCTTTAAAATTGACTCTGGAAAGCTGAGAAGTCTGCAATGCTATGTATGAAGTAGGCGTTTTAGAAAAACAGAGGTGTGCGATTACTGCCATGTGACTTTCATTAGTTACCGAAGTGCTTCTTGCTGGGAAACTGCAAAGATTCAACTGCACTAACAGCAGTGGTGCTGAGTGTGGTCCTGGAGGGGCGAGGCGGGGCCCGCTACCACTGCCTGCTGCAACCCTCACAGTTGCCCTTGACCCCGAAAGGGTTTGCAAAGATGACGTATGATTTTCTGGGGGATGGTAACAAATGAACAAATTTGGGGGCAAAATAACCACTCGGATGGTTGTATCTGTTTTGCCAAATTGTATTTGTTGTGCTTTTCTGGAACTCCACTAAGGATTTGTAGTAACACGTGGTCATTTCCTATTTATAGCGTGAATATCGCAAAGACTATGAAAAGTCAAAAACTGTCTACACAGCACCACTTGATATGGTCCAAGTCACTCAAGCTAAGAAATCTCAGGAGATTGCCAGCGATGTGGACTACAGACACATCTTACACAACTACAGCTACCCACCAGACAGTGTCAACATAGATCTCGCCAAGAAGGCGTATGCCCTGCAGAGCGATGTGAGTAACTAGGTTTTCGCTACCACTTCTTTTGACTATGGAAACCAAAAGGATTTCTAAACGGCGTATTGCTCTTGGGCCTTCACAGAGGCATCTGCGTTGTCCTTTGTGCATAGACGAGCAGGGGAAGCCACCCTCGAGGGTCTGTGGGGACACAGCCATTAGCTGCGGGGACAGTTGGACTTGGCATGGACTCCACTTGTGTTTCCCTTTGGGAAACTTAACAACCTTGCTGGAATAACCTTGCTGACACACTGGAATAAAATAAAAGAACTGTTTTGAGGATTTAAATGCAAGCCCAGGTTTGCACAGCACCAGGCCCTAATGAAGTCCTCAGTAGACATTCACTGTTATTATCATGCAATTAATCACCCGGTTCGTCAATACCAACAGTTTTTATGCAGATTACTATTTTGTCTGTAAAGGAAATGTCCTAAATTTTTTTAGAAGTGTTTTTTTTTTCTTCTTGCAGGTCAAAACTTCTTTAGGCAAATTAATTTATATGAGCTACACAATTAAATACCTTATCCTAACAATTCTATTTTTAAAATGTAGTAAAATACACATGATACAAAATTTACCGTCTTTGCCACTGTTGAGCATACAGTTCAGTAGTGTTAAGTATATTTTCCTGTTGTTGTGCAACCAGTGTCTAGAATTTTATATTGCAGAATGGAGACTATATACCTATTAAACAAGGATTCCCCACTTCCTCCTCCCCTAACCCTTGGCAACTGCCATTCTGCCCTCTGGTTCTATGAACTTGACTGCTCTACGTACCTCACTTACATGCAGTCACGGTTTGTTTTCGCTGACTGGGTTAGTTTACTTAGCATAATGTCCTTAAGCTGCACCCACGTTGTGGCTTTTGTCAGAATTCCCTTCCTTTTTTATGGCTGAATAAGATTCCATTTTATGTACATACTTTACCATATTTTGTTTACCCATTCATCTGGATATTTAGGTTGTTTCGACCTTTTCAGTGTGAGAATAATGTTGCTATGACTATGAGTGTATGAAAGTCTCAAGATTGTTTTTAATTTTTTTAGATATATGCCCCAAAGCTGAACTGTTGGATGTCATATTCTACATTTCAATTTGGAGCATATGGTAGTTTCATTTTTAATTTGTTGAGGAACCACCATACTATCTTCCCTACTGGCTAAACAATTCTACATTCTTACCATTAACAATCCTATCATATGCATTATTATTTGTTATTTAATTTTTCTATGTTTCTTCATCCCAAATAGATTTTAAGCCTCTCAGTGGAAGAAACCAAATATCTTCTTGATTTTTTATTTCAGTTAAGAGGCTCACACTAAAGAACAATTTGAATTTTGTACCTAGAGTATGTCTTACATGTCATCTATGGCCAGACAACCAAAATGATGGATTCTTTTAATAGAATCAAGTAAATGTGCCCCAGATAAAACTGCTTGTGTAAGCAAATTAACGAGCGCAACTATTTCAAAGTGTTTCATTAGTCCAGCACCCTAAATGTTTGAGAAACCCTCTTATGCTAGACAGCACATATGAAGTGCAGTGTGCACACACACGTGGAACAGATAGCTTCTAGCAAGTCTTATCTAACTAGAAAATGAACAAAGCGGCCAACCTACCTTCAGTATCACCTGCAGGTCTAATTTTACCATAGAAACAGAGAACAAACATCCTACATGTGATTATCTAAATACAGTAATTTCATGTACTCTTTGAAATACAACTTTTTTTCTTTTTGAGGCGGGGTCACTTTGTGTAGCCCAGGCTGGCCTCAAACTTGCAATGTTGCCCAGAGTGGCCTCCAATTTCCTATCCATGATCCTCCTGCCTCAGCCTTCCAAGTTGGAACTATAGGCATGTGGCACCACACTGGGCTGAAACACAGCCTTGAATTGGGCATTTTCCACATTAGAGTTAGAATTCCACATAGTTCCACTAGGTGCAAGTTAGGATAAAATGAAATATAGGCTAGTTAGGAAGAAAAACCAAAAACTCTAAGGACTGTTAGAATCTCTCACCAAAGAAATGCGTAAAGTAATCTTCATACATGGAGTGATGAATCTGCTCAAAGATCTTAAAAGCATTTGGGTGAAATGTTAATGATTTCACCTATCAAGGGTAAGACTGAGCAAAGACATTAACGCTCCTTTTGGTGTTTCAGGTTGAGTACAAAGCTGACTACAACAGCTGGATGAAAGGCTGTGGCTGGGTGCCTTTTGGGTCCCTGGAAATGGAAAAGGCAAAGCGAGCTTCAGACATCCTTAACGAGGTAAAGCCCTGGGAGTTGTCAGAGCACAGTCTGCGACGGTGTCATTTAAAACCCTGACCGTAGGAAGTGTCTCCTTTTCTGCTTCATCCTCTGCTCGTGGTTGCTGAGGGAAAAGCCACAAGCAGGAATTTATGCTTTATATCCCCTTTCTATCACCCAGGTCATTCATGTTAACCATTCATAATAGAAATATTTTAGCAACTTTATTAAGGAATACTTCACAAGCCATAAAACACCTATTTTAAGGGTATAGCTTGGCAGATTTTTTAAAATCCATGTCATTGTACAGTCATCACCACAAATGAATTTTTAAATGTTACTAATACTCCAAGAAATTTTCCCCCACGAATTCCTGCTGTTGTCTTCAGCCCAGTCGCTGATCTGTTTTCCACCTTTTCTAGAAATTTCTTTCTGATCTGGCTTCTTGTGCTTCTTATGTTTCTTCCTGTGCCTTTTAAACAAAAGTTGAGTGATATTCCTTTGTGTGGATCTACCCCATGGTGGTGGCCTCCTCACCCGTTGGTGGATGAGTGGGTTTTTTCCAGTCTGGGGTGATCATGAGTAATAGAGCTGTTACCGATCATGAGTAATAGAGCTGTTATTCTTCTCTGAAGAATTTACCATACGTTATGCTCTTGATGATCCTGAGGTAGTATATGAATTACCAGGCGGTGGATGAAAAACCGATGTGTTGAGGCTCTTAAAGCAGCAAGGTTGTCCCTTTTCTGTCACCTGAAAACTCAGGTGACTGCGCTGTCCTGGAGGTGACTGCAGAAGCCACACGGGCCGAGTAAGGACCGCCTTTATTGTTCTTACCGCCTGGTACTTTTAGTTTTGGTGAAAACAATTTTCCCACTTGGGAGTGTCCTGTAGGGACACCTCAGACCTCCCAGCTCACTTTCCTGTTAATCCCATGGAGAATTCTGGGATGTTTCTGGACCCTGCTTAGCTGCGAGGACTTTTTAATGTGATCAGCAAGAAATCGAGGCAGTATTTTAAGTCTGGTACCTGAGAGCTGTATTGGTTTGTACTCCCGAATCATCCATAACTAAACATTATCTTAAACATTGACTTTGGCAATGTGTTCATTTTTCATCCAAAACTATCAAGACTCTAGTATTTTTACATTTTAAAATCAGAAAAAAAATCTTCCTTATGTCTCCCAGACAAATTTCAAGGATTTCAATGTCAGCCTTTCGTGACAAGTAATATAATTTCTCTCTTTGATTCACCAAACAGAAAAAATATCGCCAGCATCCAGACACACTCAAGTTCACCTCGATTGAAGATGCTCCCATTACAGTGCAGTCTAAAATTAACCAGGCCCAGAGGAGTGACGTAAGTGCTCTTCCTGCCCGTACTTTAATAGATGTTGACCGACACAAACGTGTCTGTATCTCACACCCACTAGTCTCCTGTAACTCCTGTGCAGTCTGAAGTGCCCCTGACGAACACTGCACGTGGTGCCGGCTCTTCCCCGAGGCGCACTCCTTCGTGTCTTCCGGGGGTCGTCTGTAACCTGGCCGTCCTTGTGGCCGCCTGCTCTTGCTCTCAAGGAGAAGGCGGGAGAGTCTCCTTTCAGTGACAACGACGGACTGTCTCAAGAAATGACCAGGAGGAATGAATATGGGCACTTAAATAAAATAGAGGAATTAGGCATTAAGTCAAAGCGAGGGGAAAAGTCGT